ATCTGGCTAATCTACATGCCTCCGTCGAAGGAGGCATGTAGTCTAGACACACCCTAAGATCTCATTAGCCAACACTATCCTCACTATGACTCCCAAAGTGCCTGGCAGTCATATAGCCTGATTTCTAGCTCCCAAGCTTCACCTGCATTCATGAGCACACAAACTTCTGTACTCCACTGGATGTACAATGATGAAAGAAAAGAGGTTCACATTTACTGCCATTGTGGGGGTGATGTGTCAGAAACATGCTATCCTCTGTTTTGGATAGAATCATTTTGTTGGAGTAACAGTCTGGTTATTGGTCATAACGTAAGAGGCAGAGAAGAGTTTCTGCTGTTAGAATATGCTCTTTGAATTCTTTAAGTAATGTGGGAAGTGACTAGGAGTTACCATGATACTGCTGAAACAAGATGTCAGATCATAAATATGGGCCTTTGTTATTTAAACCCTTATTACCCCAGAGTAATTAAGGGCATCAAACAGCACAGATTAAGTCAAGGGCTTTAAGGGTCTATAGACTGAAATATTGGCATAATCTCTAATGCAAAAGCAGGTTAGGCAGGGAGGTACTTGCACAATGTTTGAGCTGGAGGTTAGAGTAAATTCAAGGACATGCATAGTATTAACTTGATCAGCTATCCTTGTTGCTTAGATATACTGGAGTACTGCCTAGGGCTCTAATTTGATTGAAGAATGCCTAACATGCTTCCAACATGCTTTGATTGCTGCTGCAATTTTAATTAGAAGCACATCATGGTGTTCAGAGGCCTGTTTTTGCCAATATGCATGCCAGTGCAAGTCTACTGAGGATTAAATTTTCTTAACTTCTTAGATCAATACGCAGCTTCACCACCCCTCCCCCCCCACATACACCCCTCTACTTTACCCACTGCAGAGCATGAACTATGCAAGGCAGCACCCGTGATTGCTAGCAAAGGGAACAATTCATCATTCTTACTTTTCCATCAGATTCCTGTACCCTCTGAGCCCTTCCTCCATCCAAACTGAGCAGATACCAGATTGCAGCTGAAGGTCAACCTTTATGTGGATTCATAACAGCCAGCATGACAGGAAGGCCTAGGAGTAAGTCATTCACTGCTCTCCCCCAGGATGAGCTGGTCAAACAGGTACTCTCCCATGCTGTTCTGGGACACTCCCAGGCGCTTCAGATTGGTGAGGTGGTCTCCCAGCTGCTTAATGGCCTTCACCTGCTCCTCCAGGAAGTCTGACTCCAGGATGTCACACAGCTGCAGTCAAGCAAGGAGAGGTAGAGGAATATTAATTTCAGTTTGACTATGCACCATTACATATCAGTGCAGAGTTTCAGCTTCAAATAAATTGATTGATCTGAAAGACAAACTAAATGACAAAGATCAGTTTGTTACCTGCATACATCATGTGTGACTGGAAAGGACTGAATAGAAAAGTTTTAAATCTCTTTTCAGTTCCAGGAGTCTTCCAGGTAAAGGTAAGAATCTCTGCTGGCTCAGCATCCATGGGGGGAGCGGGGAGAGGAAGACATTGAGCAACCATTCAAGTTTAACATTTACCAACAGTCAGAATTCCCATCCACCCTTCCTGTCTACAGCTATTCCCAGCATTTTGGTTGCAAGAGAGCTTCATGCTGGTGATACTTACGTCTAGTAACGTTCTATACTGTATGGCTACAAATATTCAGAAGTGGATGCTGTTCGTGATGGGTTAAGATCCTCTTAGCAGGAAAAAGGAATGAAGACATCTAGATTGGGGTGGGCAAATGGCCTTCCAGGAGAGTTGATCCAGCCAGCAGAGGCCCTGTCGCTCCCCCCGCCCCAGGCTAGTCAGGTCCTGGGGGCGGGGAGAAGCATGCAAAGTCTCCTCCCACCCTGCAAGGGGCTCATCACTAAAGTCAACCACCAGCTGCTGCTCAGCGGGCGGTTGACTAAGTATGGTGCTCCCTTGCAGGGCAGGGAGTGAAAGACTTCACGTGCTCCCCTCCCCAGGCCCTGATTGACCTGAGGGTTGTGGGGGGAGCATGCAAAGTCTCTTCCCACTGCCAGGAGAACAGGTACCTGCCAGTTGTTCAAAACAGTTGTTTGTTCTCTCTGGAGGGGAGCAAAGACTTTGTGTATTTCCCCACCCCCAGACCAATCAGGGGGTGTTGGCAGGAAAGCACAGAAGTGTCCTGGCCCTACCCTTTCTGCCTGAGCCCACTTCAAAAATTTCAGAAGTGGCCCCAAGTCCAAAACTATTGCCCACCCCTGGTCTAGATACAACACAAGTGAAAGAGGCATGTGTTTTCCCACCTCATTTCATTCAAGATTGCTTATGTTCACCCTTGCTCTAAGTTGTTCCTGGAAGAATGACGCTGATAACTAAATGGAAGATTGCTCTCATAATGCCTTTCCTCACCTTCTCGAAGGTCCAGCGATTCCTATGGCTCCAGTTAATCCACTGAGAAACAATTAGGGACCTATCAAAATGTTTGGCAATAGCTGGATCCTGCCCAGGATAGTTTCTGGTCATGAGGATTTCCCTGCCCAGTTCTACATATTCACCTCTGTGTATGGGCCCAAGTGCCAGTAATACTTTTCAAAGTCAATAATAGTTCTACTTACAGCAGCTTCATTAATAAATAAATAAAGATGCAGATCTTGCCTTTCAGTGCAGGGGTCAGCAACCTTTCAGAAGAGGCGTACCAAGATTTAACTTATTCATGGATCTATGTGCTGGGAGAATGGGTGTAGAGGAGGCAAGGCAGACTAGGTATGGTGACCTTATTTTCTGAACCAGCTGCAGCTAGGCAGAACGGTTTAATTTAAATTATAAAACAGATTCAGCATATTAACTCTCTCATATTAATTTTGATAAACTAACATTTTATTTTTTTGAAAATGATGTCTAGCACTAAAGGTTTCGATGTTATCTTTATTTATGGCAGGGATGGGGACACGTTTTTGGGTTGGGGGGGTCCACTGACCCATAGAAAAATAATTAGTTGGGGACTACACAAGTGAGAAGTGAAAAGCCTCCTCCAAAGCCCTCCAACTAGAACACCTCCCTCCTTTGGGTGCTCCCACCCCATAGGGTGAAGGGAAGGGAGGACTGAGGTTTGGGGCTTCCTATAGGCCAGATTTACTTTTCTGGGGTTCCAGTGGATTTTGTGGACCCCCTTAGGCTCTGGGGTGGGGACAAAAATGCCAGGTTCAGTGTGTGGGACTGGGCAAGTAGGATAGCGATGAGGTGCAGGATCTGGGCAGGAGATGGGGTATAGGAGGAGGTGAGGTCTGGGTGGAAGGTAGGGTGCAGAAATAAGCTGGGAGTTGGGCATCTGGCCAGGGGGAGGGGGCAGGAGCAGCCAGGCTGTCTGGCTGTGAGGAAGGGCATGAGTGAGGGAGTGGGGGTCTGGGCACGAGGTGGTGTGGGGGCACTCGCTTGTTTTCTTACCTTGATGTCCTGCAGGATAATGCGGCCCCCTCACTTGTTCTGGTAGGTCAGAAACTTCTCTGCATACTCTCTCTCCTCATGGGACTGCTCCTTCAGGAACTGGACCACATGCCTCAAGGCCACATCATCACAGTCAAAGTAGCCGGACTGGGAAGAAGGACAAGCCTCTACAGAAAACAATATTATTATGGCTATTCCAGACCCAATAGCAGTCAATATCAAGATTGTGGTTAGTACTCAGACTCATGAATGTTCAGGCCCATGGAATTACAGCAGGGCAATCAATCCATATAGTCAGGATATTTAAGCAGCTCTGGGGAAAACCTAGTTCTTCCCACTACTAGCCTGTAGGAAGAGCATCTTCCCCCAGCTGTCCTTAGACAGACCTCATGCTATTTGTTTTGTGTGGCAATCCCGGCCATTGATTCAGTTGCCATTTTATCTGGCATGCAGTTTGCAGTTCAGTTCACTTAAAAGGAAAGACTGTCTGGACGCCTGGAGAAGATGCATGAAGAACCTTCAAATACAAGCCTGTTTGTTCTGCTTTTCCTGACGAGAAAAGAGTTTCTACAGCAATCATCCAGAGACGAGAGATCTCTAGAGAGAAAGGGAAAAAAAGTGGGGAGACATGATCCCTTTTGAAATAGAGCTACAGCTTACATCACCTTTTTATTGGTTTGAAAGAATAGGAGTAGTTTGTGCTTCAGAGAGCAGGAAACCAAATTATGTAGAAGTCATACCCAAGCAAGAACTGTCCAGCAATGCCTGTTTACAACCCTAAACCACAACGACCGGCAAACAGAGAACAGCATGAGAAATAGACACACTTGCAATGGACAAGTAGACATAGCTGGCATACAACTCCATGTTCACCATGCAATTGACAACAGCCTCGCAGTCCAGGTGGAAGTTCTGGAGCACCTGAGGCTCCATCTTTGCAAGTCCAAGAGAAGCTTACAGGTAAGACTAGCACACGCATCTCTCCAAGCGCTGTGAAAAACAAGGCCCCACCAAAGAGAAAACTCTGCCCTACCACAGCTATTCTTAATAATAGGCATAGGCGTGACTGGCAGTTGCTGCTGGCCAATGGAAATTCCCTTCACCAGCAAGGAGCTTGTTAGTATTGTGGGTGTATTTATAGCAGCATTTCTTCTCTTGCCCTCTGCCCACCTAAAGGAGTTGGGGATTGTAGATTTTCTCCAACAGCAGCTAAGTGAGGTCACTCCTTGGTTCCTTTGTATCTGATAACTGAGATGAATTAGCTCTGATGTGGGAAAAAAAGCCAGTAAGTCAAATTTCCCCAAAAAGGGATGCTCTGAAGAGATGAAAGTGGCTTCTGGAGTCTGGGGCAGTGATACCTACTGTGCACAAGTCAATGTTTCCTTTTAATTCTGCCCTTGGGTGTCAGAGGCTTGGCATGATCATGGGACTTATGCATCTTACAGTCCCTTCTCTGCATAGCCAGACTTCTCTCTGGGTATGTCTACACTACAAAGTTAGTTCGAACTAACGGACGTTAGTTCGAACTAACTTTAATAGGCGCTACACTAGCGCTCCGCTAGTTCGAATTTGAATCGAACTAGCGGAGCGCTTAGTTCGAACTAGGTAAACCTCATTTTACGAGGACTAACGCCTAGTTCGAACTAGCTAGTTCGAACTAAGGGCTGTGTAGCCCTTTAGTTCGAACTAGTGGGAGGCTAAGGCTTCCCAGGTTTCCCTGGTGGCCACTCTGGCCAACACCAGGGAAACTCTATGCCCCCCTCCCGGCCCCGGACCCCTTAAAGGGGCACGGGCTGGCTACGGTGCCCGTGCCAGGTGCAAGCCTGCCAGCACCCAGCTAGCAGACCCTGCACCTGGCACGGCACAGAGCCACCCACCCGATGCCCCCCAGCCCACCCCCTCTTGCCGGGACCAGGCTGGCGGCTCCCGGGAGCTTGCCCTGGACCGCAAGAGGCGGGCACCTTCCTGGGCTAGTGCGGACATCGTGGACCTCGTCCACGATCTCCGCACTAGGCACAGGAAAGTGGCCGTCTAGGGCAGGAGAGCTGCCAGCCTGGCCACCCAGGACCAGGTGTGCATGAAAATCAAGGGGGTCCACTGAGACCCCCGACCCTGAGCCCTGAGCTTACAATGGCCGTACTGGGTCAGACCAAAGGTCCATCTAGCCCAGTAGCCTGTCTGCCGACAGCGGCCAACCCTAGGGACC